TCAAAGTCCTTCGATATATATACGTAGTATACTTTAGGCATTACAAAAACAGATTCACTTAGATTTAATAGATATTTCAATGATGATGGGGTTTATAAATTCTCCATTCGAGTATAATAAAATGATCAAAGGTAGATTCAAAGAAATTTCAGACTAATCATCAAACAAGCCCATCCCGTTTTTTCTTCACTCTGTTCCTCAATGACCTTCTTCTTCTCTTCACCCGCCGGAGCAGCAGCGGCACCACCAGTGAATGGGGCAGCAACGAAAACCGCACCACATCCACCTATGTTCAGAGCTTGATCAACAATCGTAGCTACTTCTCTACCGTGACGAGGATGCCTTCGTGGAGTATCAGTGTGGAACATGTGCGAGGGATTTCAAGAACTTAAGTTAATATCTAAGGGTAACTTAGACTTTTTATAATTTAGGAGGCCGTGGATAGCAAATTAAGGGCCGCTAATAGAATTTCCCTTTATTTATTATTGGTTATTTTTTGGCAACTCATGTGGTGTTTTTTAGCATGGACCCTAAATGCATTTAGAGGAGTGCTATATATGCGACTCCAAGCTCATTTACAGTCAGAGCCGGCCTCGATCAATTTGTGGCCCTAGGCAAAAGAGCACCACAATAATTGAACCAAAAAAATAAGCAAAATAGTTACACAACATATTCTTCGTCATGCCGAAAATATTTCGAAATTTCAATTCTTAGTCAATGATAGTCTTGATCCATGATACTCTCTCTGTCTTTTAAAGCTTTGTCATATTTACTTTTTTGAGTCCTAAAAACTTTATCACATTCTCTTTTAATCAATCAATTTGTGGTTCTAGTCATTTCTCTCTCCTTTACCCCCAACCTCAGTCACACAGTTTTAACTTTATTACTGTCTGTACCAGTCAAACATGGCAAAGTTTTGAGAGACTGAGAGAGTATTTTTGGATTATTAAAATCCAAAAATATGAAAAAAAGTCTTTCTTAAAATTACTTTCATAAAAATAGAAAATTTATAAATTTTACATAAATATAATAACTAAAGTCATTGGAGGTATCCAAAATTGACTATCATTGATCAACAAGTCAATTTGGCCATATTTTTGTGGGGTGAAGATAATAGTTTTATATGTACTTAAAATATCTCTTTCTTCAATAAAAAAATATTACCTATTTGTTTATAGTCTATATAAAATTGCATTTCTAAACAATGAACACACATGGATAAGAATAAATAATACAATTTTGCTTTGAAGTTTAAAAAAAATTAGTTTCAATTAGTTTCATAGAAATGAACTTTTTATAATCAATTACAATAACTTTAGTACATTGTAAATCACTTCCTTTTTAATGAATGAAAACATAGAGATAAATTTTATAACTATGTAGCATTATTTAGGTGCTATTGTATTAATTAATGAAAATATCAATTATAATTAATTTTTAAACATAAATTAAGACCAATTCGATCACGTGCCTAAAAAATTTAGAGTTTTTTTCTAAATACTACTAAACTCAAACTTTTTACACAATTATGATTAATAGTTAATACACTACAGTGTCATGGTCACCTAAGCTTAAAAATTGAACATAAGTTATTATGATTATGTTACTACTATAATTACTAGTAACATATTTGTAAACAACTTTCATTTTAGTCATAAATATGTAATTATTTTAAAAAAAATCATTACAAATCACTTAGTTTAAAAAGTTAACTTTCAAAGGCAGTACATATTAATTTTCATTTATATCATTATTAATTTCATTAGTACTTATTTATATAATTATTTATTTATATATATAATAATTTTACAAAAGAAAATTAAAAATTGAGGCCCCTTTAGGAGTGGAGGCCCTAGGCAATTGCCTAGGGTAACTCCCATCAAAGCCGGCTCTGTTTACAGTTATGATAGTACGAGTGTTGGATTAGGCATGGACCCGGTCAAGACTGGAGGGTCTGTGCCAAAGAAAAGGGAGGCCCGTGACTGAGCCGCGGATAGCGGTCCCAAAGCGGGTAATATAGACCGGCTGGTTGGTATCTCGATTTTTTTTAAAACTATCTTAGCCATTGGTGGTGATCGGACCGGGCCCGAGATTGATGCGTACTAGTCCAAAAAAATTACACCCGGGACTGCGTAACGAAGACTAAGACCAAAGTAACAAAGACAAAAAAAAACAGTCCTGAGCCAGTCCAAAACAATGTTGGCCTGGTTTTGGCTTGGTTGAGACTTGAGACTGACATACCGTGCCCACTCCTATATTGAATTACTCATTTACGGAGTATAAAGTAAACTTATTTTGAATTTAAATTGTACACATCATAAGATACATTATATTCATGCTCATAAGGGCATCCCCATCCATGAGTTTATTTGAAGATCAATTGGATGATGTGTAAGATTATTTTAAATATTATCATTGTGAGTGAGAGATTATTTAGTGAGATTATTGAAAAAGAAAATCCGGTATCAAGATTCCAATCCCAGATTATTTCAGATTGTAGTTAAATTACATTTAATGCATGTCTGGAAAAAACTGATTATTTGAGTGTTATTGTTGATGAAGAGTATTAAGCTTTGAGATTATTTCAAATTCATTGAATAAATGTGATGTGGCAGTGATGTGTAATAAAAAAAATCGTTTATCTAGAGAGCATGAGTGGAGATGCTCTAATAATATGGCTAGGGTCAAATAGGCCCCTTTACCCGTCCGGAATGCTCAATTCGCCCCATGAACTCTAAAAAGCTCCAATTCACTCGTGAACTCGACAAAAAAGTTGAAATCTCATTTTTGCACGCAAAAGTCCGATCACTGCCACGTCACCCGGTTAGATGCCAATTGTGCATCCCACGTGACAATTTATGGGGTCAAATAGGCCTCTATTTGACCCTTTAAATTGTCACATGGATTGCACGGTTGGCATCTGACCGGGGTGACGTGGCAGTGAGCAGACTTTTACATGCAAAAAATGAAATTTGAACTTTTTTTATTGAGCCCGGGGGGTGAATTAGAATTTTTAAAGTTTAGAGGACGAATTGAACATTCTGGACGATTATAGGGGTCTATTTGACCCTTTAGCCTTTAAAATATGATATTTGACCTTTAAAATGGTTCACTTTTTTGAGTTTGATTTTGATTTTCTCAAAGTTCGGTTTATTTTACTTACGATTCAAATTTGATTGATCCAGTTTTCAGTTTTCGACTCATCCTTATTCCCAAGTATGGTCTACTATCAATTCTTCACATGCATAACAACATCATAGCTACCCGATCCGAGAATAGGCCATCCATATCTTTTCACACTACAAAAGAGAAGAAAAGTGTAATACATAGGGTTAGGGATGGCCCGGGTCCAGTACGACCGGTGGGGCCTGCCACTGTGCGGGACCGGTTAACTGGTAGCGGTTCCGGGCCTAGGACCGGCCTGGGGGGATTGTCGGGGGCGGACTTGGGCTTAACGTCCTTTGGAACCGGCCCGGCTGGGGCCGATCTGGGCCCAATTTTTTTTTGTGGTAGAGGGGTTAGGCTAGGTGTGTTTTTTGGTTGGGGGGGGGGGGGGGGGGGTACGGTTGGAAGTAATTAGAAAAGTTAAACAAAAATGCAACCCAACCCGAGCCTGGCCCAGTCCCGGTGGATCCTGGGCCGGTTCCAGACCTTTCCCCACAACCAAAAAATCAACCAGGCCAGAACCGGTCCATGCCCCTACATAGGGTCTTGTCACGGCAAATACGAACAAAACTAGGTTTTATTTTTTAAAAATGGGTGATTGATTCAGATCATTACATATTCAATCATAAACAATAAAACTCAACCATACTATGTCTAATATTTAAACTCCTTATTCATAAACGTAATTGTTTGGGTGTGCCTTACTACTAGCATGCGCAAAGGAAGAACATCGATTTTGTACTCAGTTGATTGTTGAGACCACAACCTGCCCCACTGCCCCCACATAGCGGCAATACCGCAATAGCCACCACCGGAAAAACAACCAAAACCCTAGAGAATTCTAGTTACCCGTCCACTAGAGAGAAAGTTTTTTACTCATACAATTAATTCAGTTTCCTTTTCTCACTAAGATTATTTCATATCAAATTTGATAAATATCAAAATTTCGCTTTATTTTTACTTTATCAATTCACGTCAACCACATAAATTCAATTTTCTTAATAATTACACCGCTTGGTTCTCAATATTAGTGAAATAGTAGCATTAGTTATTGTTTGATGTGGTTGTATTTTCCAATTAATGTCTTCTAATCAACAAAAGTATTTTGACAAAAGTCGAATAAATCAAAACCGTGATTTCAAATTTTGAAAAATTTAAGGGCCTGTTTGGATGGAGTGTTTGGAAGTGTTAGTAATGGAAGTGTTAGTAAGTGTTAGTAAGGGCTCGGAAGGGAAGGTAAGTGTTAGACATAATTTTACCTTGTTTGGGAGAGTCAAATGAATGAAGTGTTAATAATGGAAGTGTTAATAATTTTACCTTGAGGCAAAAGACACGAGTAAAGAGAAGAGATGAAAAAACAAACCATCAGACCCGTGAGAAAGACATTCGAAGTAAAATGTCGAAGCATTTTATGTTTTTCACGTAAATGAGAAGGGTAATAATTGTCCAACACCTCAAAACACTCCAAATCGGGGTGTTAAAAAAATGGACAATTGAGGTGTTGGGAAGATTATTATTAACACTTCCTAACCATTACTAACACTTCTTAACACCTCTAGATTTTTCTCCCAAACAAGTGTTAGCATCAACACTTACTAACACTTCCATTACTAACATTCCTCAACACTCAATCCAAACAGGCCGTAAGAGGCTAAACTTTTAACTTTCTTTCGACATTTGGTTTTACGTCAAAACCAAAACATTTGAACCGAACCCACCGCAATCCTAGGAACCACTCAGCAATCAAGGGGGGCAAGCTAATAAGCAGCCAACCCAGTTTGGTTCAGAACCTGGATCAATTGCAAGCTTATCTATTCTAACAAAATCCAATATGCAAAAGACACCAATTTGGGTCTCAAACCAATGATGCACTTGCAAAAATTCACACCAAAGAACCAGACTACAACTACAGCTAGTTCATTGCACAGCACCTCACCCCAGTTTAAGTGCACTTGAACGATTTAACAGAGATATAATCAAAACTGGATCTGTATGCCACCAGCCAAAAAAGCACTGGTTCTTCGTATTTTCTAGAGAAAGTAGGCTTACTATAACGTTCTTTTGAAGAAGCATATCACCTTCCCAAAGGGTGAACCGTGAACACCCTCATTTAAGGAACTGAAAATATAGGAAGATCAGTCCATAGTTCAATTGCAAATAGCACTCTGCTGCTGTACATCTTTGGGGTGCTCTTCCTGATACAGATCATCGTACCTCACAGGCACTCGTATTCTATTAAAAACAGATTGACATGGTTCACCATTTGACTGTCCAAGCGAATTACACAGCATATAAGATGGAACTTTTGAGCCATTTGAAGAATTGACTAGACTTTGCGTTGCACCGCCAGTTGTTTGCTGGTTAGTAGCTTCTTTTGTTCCTTGCTTACCCGGGGCTGCTTTAGAAGCTTGCTTGAGTTGCTTCTGCAGTAGGTTGAAAAAAAAACAAGCATCAACCCAAAATTCATATCTGATGAAACATAACAAAGAGATATGATAATTATAGCTGCATCCATTTTTTTTTGCCAACACTGAATCATTTGTGTTACAAGTTACAGCACACAACCCACCTGACCATTAAAATGTTTTGTCGATTGTCTTTTGAAAATGTAATAATAAAGTGAAGACCCTGTTCGCCTGAACAATTAATAAAGGCTAATCATACTATAATGATTAGCCTTTATTTGAAAGGGATTGAGTCACCATAATGTCTCATGTACCACTCAATCACACAGTAATTTGAGATATTTTATGCAATGTGTCTGTGGTCGCAATGGGTACAAGTCCATAGATGGGTATTCTTGTGATATGCAAATTAATTGGCTTATACATGGTATTTCTTATGGACGTGTTTACAATTACTGATGTCGAGGACATGTTTGAGGCCACAATGACGGCAGGCTGCTCTAGAAGCTTCCAAGGCGGATACTGGGACTGGAACAATGGACGAGCATCGGGGCTAATCAAGGAAAATAAGCCCAAGAGGCTGACTTGAGTGCCAAGTCAGAGGGTCCTATTAGTATGTTATATTATGTTATTTCCTGTTTTAGTCTTAGCCAGTCCATATTATTAGTTATTTTCTATTGTGTTTAGGAATTAGGACTCCTGAAATGGCTATATAAGGTACTCCGAATTAGCTACTTTTGGGAAGAATTAAATCCAGAGTGCCTTGACTACATAGGTCACCAAATTGATTCCAACTAAAATCTTGGTTTTAGTTCTTTAAAGGAGGTAAGGGTCGGATTGGTACTCGAAGTTGCATAAAAAGTGTCAAACAAGTCCCTTATATAAGAGGCTCTGTCCGGCCGTCGTCATTTGGGGCGGTTCCCGGTGGAATTTTTTGACGAAACTTTTTGAGCATCTTATTCATTAAGTCTAGTTTACTCATACCAAATTTCAGCTAAGAATTCAACCAGGAAGGCATTCAAATGAATTCTTGAAGATAACTGCGCAGTTAAAAGTGCAATTATCTTCAAGAATTAATTTGAATGCCTTCCCGATTGAAGTTTTAGCTGAAATTTGGTATGAGAAAACTAGACTTAATGAATAAGATGCTAAAAAATTTTCATCAAAAAATTCCACCGGGAACCACCTCAAATGGGGACGGCCGGACAGTAAGGACTAATTTGACACTTTTTATGCAACTTTGAGTACCAATCTGACCCTTACCTCTTCTTTAAAGTGTTCAATCATAGGTCCGAAGTAAGTCTTCCCTTTGCTGCACCTCTCTCCCGTTCTCTAGATCTTGGCCATAAACTAGGAGGTGTAAGCGACTAAGCATGCTCATGACTAATATCAAGTGAATGCATTAAATGAACTATAGAATGAGTACAGATTTGATGGATATATATGAGTGCAAACGTAATCATGGATATGCAATTTAACAATGAAAAAACAGTTTTTTCATATGGACATCTATTAAGAAAGTAATGTGTTCTTTCTTAAGAAAAACTGGCCTACCTCGAACTCCTTTCCCTTTTGCATTATCTCTTTGAAAGCATTAGGTTCGCGGACTCTGAGAATGTTCCATAAGATCCCACCACCTAATCTATATCGCTGGCCATTAGAAGTCTTCTGGCCACCAGATGCCTGAATTGCATCCACCTGCAAACAACATTACTTTAGTACTGATTCCATTGGTATAGAAACTTTCAAGGACACAAAGCTGAAGGACACAGGCATCCATGGTGTAATAATCATATCTGTTCAATACTTCAATGTTATATGCGATGCTGAAAAAGAGGACCAAAGCTTGCTCTATACATATGTGACCTACATAAATCATAAATGGACAACCTGAAAACTAGGGAGTTAATCACCTATTTACTTCTTCATTCAATGGGTAAATAACACATCAAGATCATGCACTTTTAAGTTTTAAGGAATATAAATCTTATGATCAGAATTGTATGTCAAATAAACTTAACCAATCTTAAGCATATAGTTTATTTGTATACTTTGAATACCCAAAGCAGAATAGAAGTGAAGTTACACACTATGTTTAAATGTAGGCAGAAACAAAGAAAAGTCGAGATCCAATCTTACTAGAAGATACATCTCAAGAAGTACCCTTATTATTGGTATAAAAGGATTTAATTACATACACATCTACACTTAAATATATCAGTTCCAATTTTGAAGTTCAATGGATGGAAAAAATATTATCAGATGGTTCAAACCAAATTATGTATTAACTGTAAGAACATCTCCATGAAATTTCATAGCTTAATGGGGGTTAGTGATTAAATACTTAATTTAATAATTTCTAATAATTACTAGGCAATTTTGTACGTGGCTTCTACATACCCTTTATCTTGCCCAACTGCTTTTAAAGTCTTAACTAATGAAATAATTTCCTACGAGACATCACTACATACTCATGTTCTACGATGCGTGTCACTACTTAATACACAGTGCAACATGGTGCACACCAATGATTGAACAGTAACATGGCAAGTAATTTGCATCAACCTATATACCAATTGTACTTCATAAAGTGTAAAGCCAAAAACTATCTTGGTAGAAAGGTCCATGGAACCGAAACCAGTGAAATGACTTCATCATTTAACATCTGCGAGGGTAGGGAAACAACATACAGCATCAGAGACAACAAAAGAAGAGTAGAACATTTAAACATTTTAAGTATGAGCCCCTCACCTTTTCAAAGTATTAAGGACATTTTTCCTGATCGATTGAATTCAGTTGGTGACTTAACAAAAAACCTCAGGAGGAACTACATACACAATATGTTAACAAGCTTGTTACACGATAGCCTTTTTAATTGACCACACTCTTTTTACCCATTCCGTAGAACACGAGTGTAGGAAATAGAAGCTCACACAAGCCTGATGGTATTGAGTGGTGGAAGAAGAGTGTCAAAATGGAAACAAAAGTAGATCACTTAAATTGTATACAAATCACTTAATTGCAGCTAAATGGCGTGATCACGATGATGAAGTTTGCATCTTGTAAATGAATCACACTGGCATTTGAGGATGAATAAGTTGCATACCTATACACTTACACCACATCAACTTTAGGACGTCTTGAATGGAATAAAATACTTCAGTGTTTAAAAAAATGTTAATCTTACCTCATTGACAAGATCACTGAGAACGGATACACCGAGACAAGCCACAGCAGTCCATACCAAATAAGATTTTTTCTCTCTCAAGCGTCTACATACATCAGTTACAAATCTACAATTGCAGACAGTAAGAGATCAGAAGTGAAGAACCATAAGGTGCATGATTCTACAACACCTCCCTACATATACCAAATGAAATACACAACTTTCTTTTGAATAATTCATATAATGTCAATTCCTGAAAGAAAAAAAAAACTGTCTATTTTGACCACTAATTATATGCGGAGTAGGAAAAAACACTACAACTATATAATCTTTATACTCAGAAAATACTATTACTACATATAAACAATCAATAAATTTTTATATACTCTGTGTGAGAATATAACAAGTGAATTAAGTGACACCAATGCTGGCAGATACACACCTGTTGACATCCGTTATCTTTGGAACTGGAGGGCCTTTATTTCCTCTGTTTTTCTTCTTCTTATTCTTCTTCTTGTTCTTCCTGCGCTTCTGATTTTTACTATCAGAATCTTTTTTATCTATGTTCTCATTTCCAACCATGGTTTCGTGTGATCCTTTCCCCGAAACCACACCACCATTTTCACCCAATTCAGTCTTAGAAATCATCTCGACCAGTTCTCCCTCCTCAACCTCAGACATCTTAATGTCTTTGCCATCCTCAAAGTTCTCGAGTCCCTGAAGATTGAGCGCCATGCCATATCCAAACTCCATCTAACCTATCAATTAAAAGCAAATAGCATTCCTCCCCTCAGAACAAATTGAAAAATAGATGGTTCAAAAATAGGCAGCTTTTGCAGGCATGAGGACAACGTTAGGATGGACTGCACTCTAAAGATTAGCCAAGTGCAATTTCGAATTAGCCAATAATAGATAAACTGATAGCTCTATTCATAGTCTGTGATATAATATTAGCATCTAACAATTTAATTATTGATAAATATCTATTGTTCAAAAAATATATTTAACACTTGATACTAATCAAATGATCATATTAATCAATTAAAGGGAAGGTATAAAACCCTACAACAATTAAGCTAGCCATTAAGAAATAAGGAAGGAGGGTTAGGAGGCCGGAGGTTGGAGGAAGGGAGCCAGGGAGGTGTACAGAGCACCTGAAGACTTAGTAAGGAGAGCCGGCGAAAAGGGGTCGGAGGTCAGAGGACGGTCGGGGCGTCGGGCTGAATTTTGAGAAGGGCGAGCCGGTGAGAAGGGACGGCGAGGATGGGTTGATGAGGAAGGCTCTCTGCGTTTTCACCGTAAATACGAAGTGCTACGTATAAAAGACTGGAGTCATGACTGCTGAAGAAACGATGTGTACCATATGACTCTCCCTATTATTTACTCAGCTTTTCTGTATTTTGGGCCATTGGGTCGGTTGGATTGTACTCCGTTCTAAATTACCCGGTTTACCCCTTTCTATGCGTTTTAAAATTATTTTTAGTAAATAAAATTTACATATTCAGAAATTATATTAAATTTTTATAATATTTATTATTTAATCAAGATTAATATAATAATTAATAAAAGTTTGATATATACACTAAAAGTTTAAGAACAATTCACGTTGATTGGAGAATACTTGATAACTTGACGTACACTTTAAGTGGGATGGAAGAAGTATTAGTTTAGGCGGAAAAATCAACCTACCCATAGGGTCAAACCTATTACTCTCTTAATCAAACTATATAAGGGTGAAATAGTAGAGTTGAATAGTGTAATAAAAGTATGACAGATAATGGAAAAATATGAAGGAGAAGATAATAGTAGAATAAGTAAGAGTAATTGAGTATTTTTAAAAGAAAAACTTACCAAAGGGGAAATTGTAACAAACGTTTAAATTCATCTAAAATAGATTTTTTTTTAAAAGGAAGTGTATCAAACTTTAAAATACAATGGGAGTATAAGGAAATAAATTTGAGTCTAAATTCTTTTCATTTTTTATGCAAGAGAACTGAGAGCAATTAATTATAGGAAAAATTGATAGTAATAATCACAATTATTGGCGGTCCGCCAATAATAATCCCAACTATCGATTATTACAGAATAATCCCAACTTTAGGGACCTTCCGCCAATAATGGTCCCTATAAATAAATTCTTGTAGTTTCTAAAGTGGATGAAAAGAGATATAGCAAACAATCCCTATAAATAATCTCAACTTTTAATTTTTACGCTTAATTTCTATTTAAAATTCACTTTTTGTAGGAGCTAATATCTAGTCATGGACCATTATTGGCGGACGGTCGATATAGTTGGGATTATACAAAAATAATCAATAGTTGGGATTATTGTCAGCGGACCGGTAATAGTTGGGATTATTACTTTCAATTTTTCCTTAATTATATTAGGGATAAAATTTTATGTGCAGACATATTTAAGAAAAAACAAAATATGTGGCCGTAAATTTGGAAGATGAGTATGCTTTAGTTCTAATTTGAGCAATTTTCTCCTAATTGTAGGTAAAATTATCGAAATAGGAGTAAAATGTTTGAGCATTTCAAAATAAGAGTGTTGATACAGTATTAATCTTAGAGAAAAGTGAGAGCTAGAGGGAGAAAATGAGCAATTAATAGTTCTCCACCCTCTATAACTATCCCAAGGGGAGTATTTATAGGGAGAATGTGGATTTGGGCTCCCAAGTCTTGGGCTTGGGAAGCCCATTACAAAATAAGGCCTCTATTGGGTTGAATACATGATTTTTTGACCAAGTACAAAATCTATTCTGTGTGGGCCTTTTTGGCCGACAGAGGACCAGGCCGAAGGAGTGTCTGACCGACGGAGGACCAAGTTCTGCTCCCGGGCTTCTGGACCATATTCTGAGTTGACAGGTGTTTGGCCGACGGAGGACTATCTGGCCGATGGAGGACCCGACCTACAAAGGACCACGTGGGTGCCGGCTGTGCTTATATTTAGTCTTTTGAGTATGTGGGTCATGGGGCCTGGCCCCGTATACTCTATCAAGTGTTAATTTTTTTTAATAAATAAAAGTACTTTACTTTTGTCTTGATTATGTACTATCATGTCTTGATATTATCAGCTTTTAAAAATGAAAATATACTGAAATTGCAACAGTTTCAAAGTTTGGCAGTAATGACTTCTATTTAGAAAATAAAAACACACCAAATATGTTTTTAATTGGATTGAAATTTTATGGTCTGGTAAACGTGTGATCTCTGTGTATTTTATATATGTCAAAATCTGATCTAGTTTGATTTGATCTATATAAGCTTGGTTTGGTGTGTGACTGAAATAAATTCAAAGTAAAAACATCATAACTTCATTCTACTAACATTGTGACATGAAAAAGTAGCGCAATTATTAAGAAAAATGAATTTTATTGAATTGAAAAAGTGACCATATATAAAGAATGATTAAAAACTACATAAACTTTATCTAATTTGTATGAGCTAATCTCAATAGAACTAATCAAAAAGAAAAAATTGAAACAATAACGGAGGGGTGAGAATACCACTCCTATATTTCAAACCTGATGATAGTTTAAGTTTTGACTTTTAGGATGGACGTTTTATCATTTACTTCTTATACAGAGTACTTGACCATGTTTCTTTAATGTGTTAAACCTAATACCAATGCCTGATGGTAACAAATACACAATTTTCCTTCGTGACATAACATGATTTTAATGTCCTTATTTCATGATACCCACTAAACTTATGCTTTTTTATGATATATGCTTTAAAGTGTCAAATTATTTTTTCATTTTTATATATGCAATACAAGTGTCATATGAAAGATAATAAAAAGTAATGAATTTTGGTATATGTTTTGTAATCATCTGAGTAAAAATAAAAGAGTTACAACACTTTAAAAAAAGTAAAGTATTTTTGAAATAGCTAAATTATTTTCAATTTTTTATATATTGAATATTGGTGTCATATGAAAGCTAATAAAAAGTTATAAATTTTGGTATATTTTTTATAAATAATCGAAGTACAAACAAAAAAGTTATAGCACTTTAAAGTATACAGATGATTTGTTTTTTAGATGGGTCCCATGAGTTAACTCTCCTTTTAGTATCCGCTTGTTTCTCCGTTACGCAATTCTCATAAGCCGCCACTTCAAGTGGCGGTTTTGTTAACTCTAGTCACTCCCAACAATATTTTGGGAAATATTATTAACCAGACCCTAATTTCGGAATTATTTTTTAATTTTGCATTATTTGGAGAAAAAACTCCTCTATCCCAGAAACAAATTCCACCTTTCCTTTTCGGACAGTACCAAAATTAACTAATGAAGTTCCACTTTCAAATATTTTTTTATTTGACAAATTATCTACATCAAAACAGTGCAAAACAGTGTCAAACAATGTCCAAACATCGCAAAACAATGCATTTCACTGTAAAGTCAAATTTATTTTATTAATATATGTGAAGTCAAATCAGGATCTTAAAAAATACGTACAGAGAACTATGGTAGTCAAAGAAAATGAAATGAAAAAATACAGTAATATCAAACGGATGAATGGATGATATGTCTTTAAAATGAAATTTAAGGCAATGTGGGATAGATTAAAAGAAGGCAGGAAGATTACTCTTTGAACAACCTAACTATAAACCTACCGTCAGTTCCTCGTAACTGATTTTGCTTCGGTTTTTCAGAAGTATTCTCCGTAAGTTTCTTAAAAACTACTTTTAAAAGTAATTTGGACCGCTAGGAAGTAATTTGGAAGTATATACGAAAGTAATCCGTATATACGAAGTGTCTGTTTTGTCCGTTTTTCGGTTTGTTTGCGTAAAGAAAGCTGAAATGACCCAAAGGGAACCACTTTCCATGGGGATGCAGAAATACAAAAGTCATTCTTCATGTGTTTCTTCTGCCTATCACCGAGGTTCCCACTCCGGTGCCTTGAGTTTGCTCTTTCTGGCTGATCAGCGGTGGCTCCAGTCCTCAATAGCAAGGTCCAACCCACGTTCTTCATACTCTTTGGGCGTCAAGTAATAGAACCATGCTAGCTTTCAGAGAATCAACTTATTTTACAATCACAAGACTCAAGTTCTAATTGTTAACATATTGAACTCAAACTCACCCTTAGAACATGGTCTTTACTTCTTCCAACCATACGACGTACGACAGTATTGCATTTATGACCCATTTGCAGTTTCTTTTGAACGCTTATTAGGTGTGATGAAATGAAATGACATGATCCCACAATAAATAGGCCACTCAATTCTGATTTTAAATTGGGTAGTTGTTTTCAATACCCTTTTTTGTCTTATGTTAGAGCGGCCTCGCTATACTGTTGGGGTGTAGCGACAGATGGGCATCATTAATACAATAACAGTGCCTTAACGTTTTAAGAGTGTTTTCTTATCTGAAAAAAGAGTAGAGAAAACATTCCCCTCCAAGAAAGAAAGTAGTGCTTAGAACTTAGGAGAAGGACTAAGTTCAGGTTGTTTTCTTGCTCTTTCAGAGCAGTCATCTATTGGTTTATATTATCATTGAAGTGGCATGTCCATTTGTTAATCAATGATCACAAGAATCCCTCTGTTTTTGTCCCACGTGTTTATCCAATTCTTGGTTACAGCAGCTTTGACAAATTCAGATCATTGTAAGTTGCTGGTCACCTGTTATTTTGTTAAAATCATACTTGGATGTTATGTGTATTCTAGACAGAACAAGTTTGTGGTGGAAAAGAAAGAAACTGGTGACCTTTAAATGATGCAGATGTAGCTATAAAGTCCCTCAAAGATGGGTGGGAGAAGGTACCACCCAGTTGGAATGGAGCAGACCCTTGTGGTGATCACTGGGATGGAATTGGTTGCATAGGCTCAAATGTTGTTTCATTGTATGCTTTCTCCATTTTTCATATACTCATTACTTCTTAGCTCCTTCCATCTATATATCTTTTATTTAAGCATGATGAGCTGAATTTTCAATTTTAGAACTTTAGCAAGTTTGAATCTGAGGGGCCAGATTTCTGGAGACATTGAGGGGCTATCAGAGTTGCAAATTCTGTAAGTCGTTGAGATTTACCAATCCTTCATGATGGAACCCAACCTACTAGTCATCCCCCACACACAAAAGAACTTTTACTGAGACTTGATGTTTTCTCTCTAAAGGTTATATGAGGAGTAGGCCAATATTTTTATATGTTATTTCATTATTTTCTGATAGATAGATACATACCTTTCTCACGATCCACACCTCGTCGTTATAGTGCATTTTCACTCCAAGTTTTCACCATATTTGGAACGAGTTGACTATGATACCATATTATGATTTGAGATTTCATTTTAATAGATCAAAAGAGAGGAAGAGTGGCTCAGTGTCTAATATGTGTTGGTTTATTATTTCATATTTAGCCGGTGCGAGACAAACTCTTCAACGACTATGTTATTTATACTGTTTTTAGCATTACAAACACTCCTTTTTTGGTATGATAATTTCAATATACAATGCCTTCGAGCACGAGTCCTCGTATACAGGGATCTATTGTATTCATAAGGCTCAGCTACACTGTACAGGGATCTATCATACAATGCAGGTCTGACCGGACCCCTTCCTCAAACAATTGGTAACTTAAAGAAGCTCTCTAATTTGTAAGAGAACTTTGCACTGTATAGTACATATATATACACTTCCCAATGATGGTATGACGAAATGATTGTTCATGACTGCATTAACAGAATCCTTGTTGGTTGTGGGTTTTCTGGACAAATTCCTGACACGATCGGATCTTTGAGCAACCTGAAATATCTGTAAGAATTATTACTTTGTAATTTCATCTCCCTTCCTATTTTATTTTAAAGTAACAAGCTTATTTTTTTCCTTTCCAAGCCTTAGTCCCAAAAGAGTTTGGGGTCGGCTAACATGAATAGACACATGATAGGGTCGGCTAAGATGAATAGACACATGAAATCGGAGTTTATAAAGATTAGAGAGATAAGAAAGATGAAAAGATAAGATACAAAAGATAAAAATATAAGACAAAGATAAGATAAAAATAAGATAAAGATAAAAATGATAAGATAAAAATGATAAAAAAATACGTAGTATAAGATAAAAAGGCTAAAAAGATAAAGAACATAAGAAGCTAATATGGAAAAGAATTTACCGGTTTTCAATAAATAATACCTTCAAATATCTACTGTATGAATCAATAGACCCAAACCTCTAGGAAAAGCATGAAAAAAGGATCGAATGGTATGATCCCTCCATCAACCCCGAATGAGGGGATTCTATTTACTATAAAAGTTCCCAGGGAATTCACCATCCTACCTTCTCTACGTTCTTGACAGCCCCTATTTGTCTCAGTAGAGTCTTTCGGTGGCTGTTTATTCTGATAGTAAAAATAGTAAAAAGGGCCTTAAGGTATCTAAAAAGATATATTGAAAAGTCAGATGTAAGTGGGAACCTTATGGTTCTTGTTTCATGTAAAGTAGGAAACAAGTCTATCAAGAATATCATAAGGCGAAAGCTGGAAAGTTGAATTTAGAGTTAAAATGATATATGCCAATTGCTTTTTCATTATTAAAATCATACGAAGAAGTATAAAACTCTCCATTCCGTTTGACACAGATCCCTGAATTCAAACAAGTTTATTGGCTCAATACCACCTTCCTTGGGTAAACTTTCGGAACTCTATTGGCTGGATTTGGCTGACAATAAGCTCACTGGACGTATACCAGTCTCTAATGGGAGCACACCTGGCCTTGATATGCTTGTGGAAACAAAACACTTGTATGTTTAGTCCAATTTATTTAATCTTTTTTAGTCTGGTTTGTTTCGATCCTTAAGCTATATCTGCTCTTTTGTAGTCATTTCGGGAAGAACCAATTGTCTGGTCCTATTCCAGCTCAGCTCTTCAGCTCAAAGATGAAACTGATACATTTGTGAGTTTCAAAGCATTCTCCTGTACAACTTTCTGTTTCTTTTATTAAAGAATTAAATTTGTATATATTTCATGGTTAATAAATGGTTCAACTTGTAAAATTTATGGCATGTAACTCACCAATGGGGTTGGACAGGTTGCTCGAGCGAAATCAGCTTACAGGAAGCATCCCTGAAACATTGGGACATGTTCAGTCTTTGGAAGTTGTGTAAGTACTTCCATCTCTTTGGTACATAATCAAATGTGTTGAAGAGTTACTTCCACATTGTCTAAATACTATCGCATGAAATAACAAACTACTACATAAGACATTAAGTTACTCGTCTTAGAAGGTCAACTTCATAGGAGGAGTATCCCCAATGTCTTATTTGTTATTTTTTATTTCACATTTAACGAATGTGGGACAAGCTTTTCAATAAGATGTTACTCCCTCCGCCTCATTATATGTGTCTTACTTTCCTTTTTGGGATTATCCCAAGTAAGTGTCTTGTTTCTTTTTTTTGGAAAGAAACATGTGGTCCACATCATTTGACTTTATTATATTCAAACTTCAACCATAACATTTACTTTTCAGCCACATTATTAATAATTGTGCCAAATTAAAACAAGATACATGAAGTGGGCCGGAGGTAGTAATATTTTACTTCTGAGTGCATTTCGGGTCTAATTTGAACTAAATGTTTGTGCTTGCAATAGTCGTCTGGACAGGAACTTGCTGAGTGGATCTGTCCCATCAAACCTTAACAATCTCACTTCCATCAATAATCTGTAAGAGTATAGGTGTCTTTATACCTATGCATTGTGTATGACTGAAGAAGTCTGTCTGACCATGCTATGACTAATAATAGTCTCTAACTTTGCATCTGCAGGTACCTGTCAAACAATAACTTAAATGGTCCCTTTCCCAACCTCAATGGCATGAATTTCCTCGACTATGTGTATGATTCAGAGTTATTGAAATTTAAAGGATGCCTTGGTCCTATGATTATTCATATTAATTAAATTGGTTTTCATTGTTTTCCCAAAACGACTGTTATTGCAAAAAGCAACATCAGCTGTATAAATACTAACTATAGCAAATTCATTGGTGATATTGCAGAGACATGAGCAATAACACATTTGATCCAACAGATTTCCCATCATGGCTCTCTACTTTGACATCTCTCACAACACTGTACTTCTCCCTCCCTCCCTCACTCCCTCTGTGTGTATATTTGAGTGCATACACTCAAATGCTAGGTGTCTCCAAGACACAAATGTGTGTCTGCCTCTATTTCTTGAAACCAAAATAAAAGTAGTGGACAAAAATGTGCCTCTAGTAACTTTAGTGACTATAATTGTATTCAAATGTTACATCGTAGTGACTATAAAAATTACTCAAAGTAACTTATAGTCACATTTTTGTCCATAGATTTTTATTAGGAATATTTTAGGAAAAATCTCGTTTTTGTATTTCTTTTATATTATTCATTGTCCCAAAAATAATATATTTGTGAATGCGTAGTTTTAGTATTACAAGCATTGTTATTTTTTATATTTTGGAATGATATACTTTTTTTTGTGTGAATTATATTGTTATGAGTCCGATTCTCAATGAGTATGCCCAGCGGTTCCGTTTTGGGCAGGCTGGTGCCGGAGTCTCACATAAAAAAAGTTAGGAGAGAATGATGGGTTCCTAAGGCCTTGGGTTGAACAAGTTAATAAATTGCATTCGGTCTCTTAGTGTGGTTTGGATCAAGTACTTATAGCCCAGTTGAGTGACTTTAAGCCAATCCTGAATTCCACTGCGTTTATTCATTTAAATTGTATTGGCAGAGTATTGGAGAATACAAGACTGCAAGGACCTATCCCAGCTTCACTTTTTAGCCTTGATCAGTTGCAGAATGTGTGAGTTTGCTTTTTTTTTTTAATGCAAAATAGACTCCATTATCCCAAATTTGTTGATGATACATGCCAAATCGTAAAAAAATGTCTCCCTTAATATTATTTCTATATGCTCGGATGTGTCAGATTGATAATGACATTTTCTGCTTCTCCTTCCTGATAACAGCATCTTGAGGAACAACAAACTTAATGGCACACTGAGTATTAGCTCCCACTACAGCAGCCAGCTAGGATTAGTTGATTTACAAACTAATTTTATAGATTCATTTACAGAAAAACAAGGGTATAAATTTCAGATCAGGTAATCTGCCACGTTTTGGATAACACAGAAACAACGGCATTTGGATTTATGATTACAGTTTTTTGTATTTTTTGGCAGCCTCACTGACAATCCAATATGTCATGAAGAAGAAGGAGAAGACCTCAATAGTTATTGTGGTCTTCCAAAACAGTATAGTTCCTCCTATTCAACTGCAGCAAGTTGCTCACCTACTACACAGTGTGGCTTAGAACAAGTACCAAGTCCTACTACTTGTGCTTGTGTTTACCCTTATTCCGGCAATCTAATTTTCAGAGCTCCTTTCTTCTCCAGCTTGGAAAGACGTATATTTCTTAGCCTGGAAGAGTCTATGATGCATTCGTTCCAATCTCATCAGCTTCCAGTGGATTCAGTCTCCTTGAGTAATCCGACCAAAGATTTGGATGATTATCTGGTATTGCACCTGCAAATCTTTCCATTAGGTCAAAATCATTTCAACCGGACAGGAGTATCTAAAATTGGATTTGTTCTCAGCAATCAAACATTCAAGCCACCTAAATCATTTGGACCGTATTTCTATGCTGCCGATGTTTATAGATTCTTTGATGGTAATGCATTTGATGACTAGTAAAATTTTAATATCTCAAACCTTATTGTTATTGACATTCATAAATGTGATAACATGTAGGACTTTGTGGGCTTAATTCTCACAGGGCCTAACACACTAGACCAAACTAAAAGATATTTCGGTTTGGGACTTTAACCCCTCCCTTTAAGTTGGTCATTTGAATTTAACACTTGCAAATATGACTTCCTATCATTTGAAACTTGAACCATGGTGGCTACATTTTTAAAGATTATGTGCCACTAGAGTTGAACTCGGAGACAAACAACCTGGTTAAAAAGGACATGAGCCACTTGAGGCTGGACTTTGATACGTAGAACCGTGCTAAAGACCCTCAGGCTACTATGGATAAAGACATAGAGTTTAATACAAGCAACTGGACAAACAAAGTTGGCCAAAATCTGCTCTGGTACCATGATAAATTTGGAATTAGGCACGAGTCACTCAACTAGGGAACTAGGTTCTAAGGGCAAAGTACACTAACCGACCGAAGATAATCTTTTAGCTGGTTGAATTTTATCAACCCATCTTATTTGTTCCATTAGGTTTGGAGTCTACAAGATCAGGCAAGTCTTCAAATACAGTCATTATAATTGGAGCAGCTGTTGGTGGTTCGGTCCTTCTGATACTATCACTTTTAGTTGGAGTTTATGCTTTCCACCAAAAAAGAAGAGCTCAAGAAGCTGATAAAAAGAATGATCCCTTTGGTAAGATCATGAAATAATGTTGCAACTGCCTTATATTTATAATGTGATGTTTGTTTAGTTCACCATATTTTGCTCTATAATTATGTAGCGTCGTGGGATGCATCCAAAAGCAGCGGTGGCGTTCCACAGGTACAAGGAGCAAAGGTTTTCTCATATGATGAGGTTGCAAAGTGCACAAAAAACTTTTCAGAAACCAATAATATTGGATCTGGTGGTTATGGGAAGGTTAGTTTCATTTTCCATCCTCTTGTGATTACATACACAGTAACACAGGTTGTATTCCTTACTTTTCTGGAGGAAAATGGTTACTACAATTTAGTAGTTATATTTTCAAATCTTTTAATTAATATTGCAGGTATACAGAGGAACTCTTCATAATGGACAACTGGTTGCGATAAAAAGATCTCAGAAAGGATCAATGCAGGGCAGTCCCGAGTTCAAATCTGAGATAGAGCTTCTCTCAAGGGTTCATCACAAGAATGTTGTTGCTCTAGTCGGGTTCTGTTTTGATCAAGGGGAACATATATTAATCTATGAATTTATTCCAAATGGCACACTGAAGGAAAGTCTGTCTGGTATGGGTCGTTTCCTATTATTACTTAGATTCCTAATAAAACTACTTCTGGTTAATATGGTCTACTCTCATGTCTACGTTAAGTGTCCTACTTCAGGTGTTTACCAATCAATATCTAATACGTAGTACTCCGTATATAACTGTGGGTTATAACCTCACCTTTTGATGGGTTTGATTTAAGCTCAAATGCTCAATTCAATATGGTATCGAAGTCTACTCTGGTTGAGATTTGGTTATTTGTTTGTTTAGCACCTATGGTCATGGGTAGTCCTTCTGGGTCAATTTGGTCAGTTAATTTATCCCTCAAGTTTTCTTGCCCAGTTTGGAATGAGAGGCCGATGTTTACTGCATTTTAGGTGACTTTTAAGGACAAGTTCAATAAACTGTATGCTGAAAAAGCAAATACAGTTTTAGCATACCTTTCAAGTATGTCAAGCTCCGTAGTGACTCAATGTCATAATGGTTGAAGTTTTTACCAACTTATACATTCACAGGGAAATCTGGTATCAGGCTAGATTGGATGAGGAGACTGCGGATAGCCCTTGGAGCTGCGAGAGGGCTACAATATCTGCATGACCTTGTTAACCCTCCAATCATCCACCGTGACATAAAAACCAATAATATTTTGCTTGATGAACGCTTGAATGCTAAAGTGGCTGATTTTGGTCTCTCCAAGTCTATGGGCGAGCTCGAGGGGGGTCATGTCACCACTCAAGTTAAAGGAACAATGGTGAGTTAAGTGTCTACAGTCTACTACTATCCCAATACTACATAATAGTAAGCATATCTCCATGTTGCTCATCATTTATGTTCTATTTTTGTATTTAGTTTGTGTTAGAAGTTTTCATCTATTAAGAGGTTAGTTTTAATATCAGACATTTCTTCTCAGAGAGGATGATGAAAACTATTAGAGTCCCATATTTGACAATTGAAGGGAGAAAGAAGGGCATAATCGATTAGATTTAATCTTCTAGTGTAGTTTGCCCCAATCTAATCCTACAATCTATGAAAAACAATTGAGGCTGACAGAATTAACACAGGGCGAAATATTTCTTTTTTCTAAATCCAAATTAACATGATAACAATGATAAACTTTTAGCATAGATGCTTATATAGATTTTGCTATCAACTGTCTAATAAATAAATGGGAGACTAATTTTTACTAGTGTTATTTAAACAAACTAAGAAAATGCTCATTAAACGTAACAGTCACATCAGTATTTTAACCTATTCCATCAGTTAGAAAGTATTCCGAAGACTTTTATAGTGATAAAAACATTCACCCAAATAATAACTACAAATGAAGTTGCACAAGCGAAGGAGACAACATGCTTAAAGGAAAAGAAAAAGTAAAAGAAAGAAGCATTTGCCTAAAGTTATTTGCAGAGAAAGTATTCACATATCAAGATTTATAGAAAATGCACTTCAAGGATGACATTTTCTGAGTTAATAATAAAATACATGTATTAGGGTTCTACTAATAAACAAACTGTGTATACCACAACTATAGGCTTGCATAGTTGCATCTAATTGCACATGGGTCATGGAATAATTGCCAAGTCAGATTAAATAATCAATGCATTTCTTGTTATCACCCTTTTGTAAAGTTAATTAATGAATTAGTCTTATCTTGGAATTCCAGAGATGGAAATTTAAATAAAAGTGAAATTGGAGATGGAAAATGAAGTGCACATACAATATAGAAATTGTACTACTTCATGAAATGAACTAGAATCTCAGAGAAGCCTATCTTTGCAGGTGTGGGGTGATAGGAGTGGAACTTTAAATCATTTATTTCTTCTGTCTTTTGCTGCTTCAATATTTATTAAGCTTGCAACCTAAAGTTAGAGCTTGGAGTGCAGCCAGCTGATCATATATGTTACTCTAGACTGACAAGTAATCTTATTTTGTGTAGGGCTACTTGGATCCTGAATATTATATGACAAATCAGTTGACCGAGAAGAGCGATGTTTATAGTTTTGGGGTGGTGATGCTAGAGATTGTAACGGCCAGGCCTCCTATAGAGAAAGGGAAGTACATTGTGCGGGAAGTGAAACAATCAATGGTTGCGGCTAAAGAAACACACGATCTTCTTCTTGGAGTTCTCGACCCGACCATTTGTTCAAGTGTAACACCTGCAAGCCTGGACAAGTTTGTTGAACTTTCCTTTAAGTGTCTCGAAGACACTGCATCAATAAGGCCAACGATGCGAGAGGTGGTAAAGGAGATTGAGAATATCATGGTAATGGTTGGGCTAAATCCTCATGCTGAGTCTGCTTCAACTTCAGGGAGCTATTCAGGAGCAAGCAAAGGCTCCAGTCATCCTTACAGTGATGAAAGTCTGTCTGTCTACTCGGTTGTGACTTCAAAGTAAGATAAGCAGCAGCTTGGGTATTTAACCATTTTGTTTTCACATGGCTTGATACTCTTTGACAGCCTTATGATATTTGTATGTGCGATTAGAGATGATGTAGAAAGATATTGTTGTGAAAAATGAGTTCAGTTTGCAATCATTTTGGGGATGGAATCAAGTGTATAGGCAAGATGTGGCACACTCTCGGCCTCTCGGGTGCAACTTTCAATATGGGCATTTTGTAAATCTTTTTATAATTTCTTATTTTGCATTTAAAGAGTGCTCATTTAGTTGTGTTCATATTTTATTTGTTCTGCTCATGTTTTGTTTTATTCAACGCTCATTTAAGTACAAAAATATACTCCATTTGTATATTACTCGTATGAAATATGAGTACTCATGGGATGTACATAATATTGAGCACAACAATGCAAACTTTGACATTTTTTAGTACATCCAATTCTTTTTTCCACACATGCCATTATTACCCTTTTAATACATCTTGTGAAATTGAAACTTCATGATGACAGATCGACAGTAATGCAGGTGCCAAACACCAATTAGAATCATTGTTTTCAAACAATAGTATCATTGTTTTCTCTTCCAAATACAACTCATATACTCAATTAGAAAGAAAACATACGGAGCATTTTGGAATGTTATACATTGTTACTTTGAGCAATTTCTTCCTCTTTATTTGATGGATCTGTTACATTCCTTACATGTACAAGCCAAACCCGGCCACAACAATTAACCATCATTGGGCTGGATGCATGTAGTGCTCTTCCAACGTAAAACTCTGTCTTGGCTGATCTTATTGTAGAGTTCTATATAATGTAACAGAAGAAAAAATCAAAGGGCAAGCAATTAAGCTGAAGAAGAAACGCCGCCGCCGCCTAAAGACTCATCATTTGAACATTGCTGCTACTCCGACCAACCGCCGCCGCCTGTTGGTTCTCAGATTTCTTTCTGCGGAAAGGGGAGTACCCTTCTCTGAGCAGCTCCTCCACCTCCTCGAACTGCAGCCCTTTGGTTTCCGGCACCAACAAGTAAATGGCCACCAGCCCGACGAGAGAAAACCCGGCGAACACGAGGAATGTCCCGGAGCTGCCCAGCACCTCCGTCAGCGTCAGGAAAGTCTCGCTGACGATGAGATTGGAGACCCAGTTACAGACCGCCGCGATTCCTCCGCCGACTCCTCTGTACCGGAGGGGGTATATCTCGGAGTTGACGATCCATGGGACGGTTCCCATTCCCGGGGAGTAGGAGATTATGTACATTCCGAGGATTACGACGGCGACCGCCCCGTATTTGCTCGGGCAGCCTTTGGTGTACCAGGAACGCCCTTCGCTTTTGCACGACCGTTTTATTGAGTCAGTCGCAGATAAGCACGCACCCGGATTCAACTGAGATCAATATCAAAATGCAAATTCACATATCAACAAATAAAAACATTTTAGTATATTACAAAATAGGAATCCCATACAGAGTTTCTTTACCTAAATAAGAGTAACTGTCAAACTTGAAAAATATTACGTATTAGACAAAGTTGTTAAAATAGTGATTCAATTCGTAAAATCATGAGTACGATTTTACGATTCATAAACTCACAACTTCAAAATCTAGTAATATCAAAACATTGGTGAAATATGTAAATGGTACTTTAACTTTTAAATGGATCAATCAAAAGCATAACTATACATATATAAATGTTTCAATTTACAATAATATTCAAATTTATAATAAAAGAATCATATGTGGTAACTAGAATTCTATGCATAAAGTCCACTTCACCTTACTTTTGTCCATGTCATCACTATAGGTTGGACTCTACACATGGAATTTTGATCGTCATGTAGGATCTTTTGTCCGCAAATTTGAATAATATTCTCAATTGAAACATTTATATATGTGTAGTTATGATACTGATTTGATTCATTTAACAATTAAGGTATCAAAATGCAATGATACCAATAGTTAAGATATCATTTATATATGCATTTCACTCAAAACATTACAATAATTGACGGTCTTATACCTATTGTATTGCTAAGACCCTCATATGAGGAGCTGAGTAGCCCAATATTTTATATATTGTTATATTGTTTTATAACTTTTTGATGTGGGACAAATATTTTAACACGTCCCACAGCCTGAACCGGACTGAACAATATTGGAGCCTATAAATGGGTGAAACAGATTCTTAACAAACTATCCTTAATCACGAGTATTAAATAAGTAGTCAAACCACAATCAAACATGATTCTGATATCAGGTTAAATCCAAGATTTGATCATCCTAAAAAGTCAACTATAGAAAGATCATACGAATAGGATATGAGGAGTAATCCAAAACCTTATATACACCCACGAACATTTTAACACCTATTTTGAAATTCATATAAACATTTTTATAGGACTTACTTTGTTGGCTTGGTTATCGCAGAATGCGCAGTCGGCGGGACCGCTAATGCAGGACATGCAGTCCCACGCAGAGGCGCGGGAGGATTTCCAGAACCTGGGGCAGGTGGAGTTGAGACCAAAGGCGGTGGACTGCTCCATGCTGACCGGCGGCGAATGGGTGGCCGCCTGCTTGAACACGCCGGAGAGAACGACCAAGCAGGCAATGATCCCCACCATGGAGATGATCATCAGCTTCCTCCGGCCGTACCTGTCAACGCAGCACATGCTGATGATTGACCCGACGGCGTTGATGCCGGAGGTTATCAGGGACAACGCGAGGGCGGTCTTGTTGGAGGCGAATCCGGCGAGCTGTAAGATGGAGGGGCTGTAGTACATGACGGTGTTGATGCCGACGAACTGTTGCGCCACCTGCACCGTGATGCCGGCGTACAGGCCTCGCCGGACGATGGGGTTTCCCCACGCGCTCTTGACTTTGGAGATCATGTTGCTCCCGATCGCTCTCTCTTCTCCCTTCTCATCTTCGATGGATGTCTGAAGTGCCCTCATTTCTTCTTCGACTTCTTCTGAGGTATAGATCTTGTCCAGGACTGCCCTGGCTTCAGATATCTTGTTCTGATCACAATCATAATATTAGAACATCGGATGTTTTTAATAGGATTCAAATTTTCTAGTATGGTATGTTCTGGTTTGGTACCCAAAATAATGCAAGTAATAACATTCTAATTAGCCTTTTTTACCCACGCGGCAGGGAGGGGGAGGAGGCCAATGTTTACATTCAGATGAAATTCACCCCATTGAATATTTAACCCGATACCCTCATAAAGGAGAGCTAGTGAGTCGGTGACAACTGAGCCGGACCATTTCCTCACAATTTAATTAGCCTTATTTGAAAAAGTGATAATATTTTATTCCTATTTGGAACAATTTTTATTCATCATAACGAGAGTAGTCTTCCTGTCAGGACCATCCGGAAACGGACCTCCGTACGGACCTAGACGTTTGGGCCCCTTTTCGGTGGAATTTTTTGATAAATTTTTTTGAGCATGTTCTTCATCATGTCTAGTTTACTCATACCAAATTTCAGCTAAAAATTCTATCGGGAAGGCAGTCAAATGATTTTTGGAAGTTAACTGCGCACTTTATATACATACAAAATGCAGTTAACTTCCAAAAATCATTTGACCCCCTTCCGGATGGAATTTTTAGCTCAAATTTGGTATGGGTAAACTAGACTTGATGAAGAACATGCTAAAAAAAATTCATCAAAAAATTCCACCGAGAAGGGGCCCAAACACCGAGGTCCGTACGGAGGTCCGTTTTTTGAGGTCCTGACATGAACTTTCCTCTCATAACGATTCATAAGATAATCCTTCAATCCTTCGCACCGGGCCCACAATATAACTTATATGGAACATGTATAAGCAATATATAGACCTTCATCCCAAATTATTTTGCAAAGTCGACTTAATTTTAAATATGGCCTCCCTCCCCATTGATAATTAATTCAATTTTCATAAATAAAATTTAATTGCTCAAAAATTACATTAAAACCCCTATAAAATTGCAAAATCCAAATTAAAATTTATAAAGAATTTATATCCTAATTAGGTAAACAAAATAAATTTGTTTGACCCAAAATATCATTTTTGAAACACAATTTGGGAGATAGGGAGGATCTATATATACCTGTCTGTAGAGCCATCTAGGGGACTCAGGGAGGGACAGCATTAGGGCGAATTGAACCACCGCCGGAAGGCCTGCAATCCCAAGCATCCACCGCCAGGTTCCATTAGTCTGCACCACACATTTAAGCAACAACCAAGCTAGATCAACATAAAATATACTAGTGAAAAATCACAGTAAAATATAACACATCTTTTAAAATATAAACATCATTGGTTTTATTTAGTGGAAAGTAGGATTCATTTTTACTCGCAAAAGGAGTTTTGGTTGTGTTTATTACTTACGTACCATACACAACGTAGTACGAAGTATTAGATTATATTGTCAAATTTGAAACGTAAATTAAATACGGAGTACTTCGTATTATAAGACCATTGATTAGATTTCATTTACCAAGTACTCCGTATAATGTAAATTAGTAAAGTAAAAAAAATGTGAGCGCTCATGAGCAAGAAGTATACTAAATGCCTTCCAATTATGCAAGTTGTTAAGGAGTATAAATGACTCTTTCTCTTGATCGATCAAAGTTTATCATTATTGACTAAAAAATAAAAGGCTAAAGGGTCAAATAGGTACATGAACTAACTTAAAGTGTTCAATTAGCCCCTTATATAGGAGCTTCTGCCCGGCCGTCGCCAATTGGGACGGTTCCCGGTGAAATTTTTTGATGAATTTTTTTGAGCACCTTCTTCATTAAGTCTAGTTTACCCATACCAAATTTCAGCTAAAAATTCATTCGAGAAGGCAGTGAAATGATTTTTTGAAGATAACTGCGCAGTTAAACAGCGCAGTACATTTCGGAAAATCATTTGACTGCCTTTCCGATTTAATTTTTAGTTGAAATTTGATATGAGTAAACTAGACTTAATGAAGAAGATGCTCAAAAAATTTCATCAAAAAATTCCACCGGGAACCGCCCCAATTGGCGACAGCCGGGCAGAACCTCCTATATAAGGGGCTAATTGAACACTTTAAGTTAGTTCATGTACCTATTTGACCCTTTAGCCAAAATAAAAATGACTCATTAAAATGGGATGAAGCACTAGAAAAGATATATGTTTGGCTAGGGCTATATTATGATGGGCTGAAGCCCAATACAACATGACTTTTTTCTAACTCTTATAATGTAACTTTTTTCATTTTTCATATTTAGTCTACCCGCTAATGTTTAAGTCTAGATTCTTGGATCTATGAGGAGGTAGTATTACGCACTGGTATGAGTTATGAAGTACTTCTGATCCTTCGTCCGCTAAAATTGTACATCTTTCATTTTCGGCTCATCCCACTAAGATGGTTTCATATCAATT